CAGCCCCGAGGAGAGACTTTCCCTTTCTGGATGATTAGGATTAGAGCCATTCTAAGTCTGATTGAACACCGCAGAACAGCTCTTTCTGCATGCGTGTGTGTGCGGGTGTGTATTTGTGCACCACAGCTTTCGCTCTATGTGTGCATATGTAAAATCTGTGTGGCAGTGTGTACGTGAGGAGAAGATGTCATCGGTGATTGAGCGCCTGCGTGAGATTATATGTGCTTGCCTAAATCAGTCAATGTGCGTAAGCAGGGAAGGTGCATGTTTTGAATATATTGCATGTGTGTGTCTGCACACCTACAGTATAAAGCCTTGTTCAGAGTGCAGAAGTATGTTTGATAAAATGTCTGTTTGACAAAGATACTGTGTTTGGATTTGTGTTTGTGTGTGTCCCAAAGCCATGCTTTGGCAGTTTGTATGTAAATCGTGTGTGACCGAGGATATTATATGTTTGTGCTCACGTGTGTGTATGTAAATGGGTTTGTAAGCATGAGACAAGAAGTATATGTGTGTTAAGACAGCATTATGTATGTGTGTGTGTGTGTGTGTTTGTGTGTGTGCGCATCAGTGACAGATGCAGGTCTGTGACAAAAGGCAAAAGATTAGGATGGAGCAGCGAGGATTTAGGAGTTCCCATTTCGCCTTAAATTTGCTCATCTCACCACTACTAGAACAGGCAAATGTTCACACTGCACTGAGAGTCTGCTCATTACAAACAAGCAAGAATCCGAGAGAGGAAATCAGTCAATAACCTCTAAGAACTGTGATATTTCTATTTTAACACGGTACGTCCTGATTTACACTCAGCAGTGAAATATTTCCACGGCTAAGAGCTGCCCAACACTGTCCAACCTTTTACTGAAACACTCGACTGCTGGCTGATGACGTGAGTGTTTTTCATTCACCTCAGTCATCTACAACAGAGACGCTGGATGTAGAGAGTCCTAATGCCCGTAAACTTCAAAGCACATCACTGCTGGACAAGTAAAAACTCCCCATTCTGATTTTACCTGGTCATCAAGAACTGACCAGAGCACAGACGAGAGGAATTACATTCTACTACATCAGCTATTCAGCAATGACATGGGACCTACAATACAGCATGTAGAGGGCAAGGCTTTTTGATTTTATGCCCCGTACAGACACATCTTCAGTTGACATGTGGCTGCAAATGACCATCGCTAAACCCCGCCCCACTCGGTTCCGGCTGCAATGCCAGTCAAGCTTTCCACTCTAGCATGTTACATATGCAATTAACAGTTTACTGCTCTAAATTCAAATAATGTTTGAGACATTCGGTCAGTTAATTAAGAGGTAGACAGAAACAGTATGCTGGCCTCGTGGTTGAAGCAGTTTTTCCAGCTAGCAAAACAACCAATGCCCAAAAAGACTCTTTGGCTGAGGGGGGTTGCACTGTCAGTGAAAGGGTATGGCCTTGATAGCTTCAGTGTGTAACCCGCAGCACTGGCCACGTGATTCTCTACACAACCAAAAGTGAAACTCTACGCTAAAATCATATTTTCACTTTGTGTCACTAGGTGTATTTAATCCTGCAGGACATGGAGTAAATGAATTTAGGACATACAGGGGCCATGACAAGAAGCTTCTTATTTCTAGAGGGTGAGGGACCATTTTGACAGCTGAAATAACATCTGTCAGGAGCAGATTTCATTCAGCATAAGCCGTTGGTAGTAGGTACCTTTTTGTGGGGGAGGACACGCAGCAAAAGGCCCGTAGGTCGGAGTCGAACCCACGGCATGGGGCACCAGCTCGACCAGGTGAGCTATCAGTGCGCCCCATAGGTGACTTTTTAATGTTTCTATGTGACTCACTTTAAAACAAGAAACATGGAACATGGTCTTAATAGCTGAGGCCAAAGCTACAGGTCCCAGAAAAAGTTTGGTCACTAATTTGAGTGACCAAAAATAAAAGAATAAATATTTAACTGTGAATGTTTGGTCAATGCAGAGAGGATCAAATCTCTTCACTGACAAAAAACTACATTCATACATACAGACAAACCATTAATGCTCTTTTTAACGCTCTTGTACATATTTTTCTTCCTCACTTATTCATCATGGTGCGAACATTGTCATCAACAGCACAAAGCGTCACTATGGCAACAGCACTTTGCTCTTTGCTTTAAAGCCTAATTTCCATCAATAAGGTGAAAATAACAATGAAGCTTGTCATTGTCTGTCTGTGCGTGTGTGCCCTGAATTTAACAGAAGATCTAGCGGCTATCTGCCCCCAGGAGACATTCACAACACAACCTCTTATGCTGGCAGCATTCCTGTACAAGATCACGAGTAAAGTCACCTCTGCACAACAACTCTCTTGTACTTGACCAAGACCTTGAGCCAGAAATATACTCCACACAATCACAAGAGAGGTTCTTTTCCAATGTACAAAATGCTACAAAGGACACTCCTGTGGAGCTATGTTTTCCAGTACAGCAGCGACGTGTCGGGGTTAAAACAGATGGCCAGGGTTCTGGAAGGAAATGTAGCATTCATTTTTTCCACAGACAATGTTATGTCTTTAGCTGAGAATTCCACCATTTGGGAAAAACATTTTTACACCATTACATTCTTAGAGCACAAATGTATTGACTCCTATTAAAATACAAAGATGCGCAAAGGTGTCCAATCTCAGAACACACTTTAAGGGAAATGCCACAAAATCATGCACGTAACAAACTACATTATCTGTAGCTGCTACATCTGGAGCCTGGTTCTAGCTCACAAAGCTGCAAAATTGTTGGAGAGATAGAGAAGCGGGAAAAAAAGGTACACTGTGTGTGTGCATATGTATAGCTGGCACAGAGTGTGTGTGCTCTCATTGTACATGCACTGAAAGTGTCTTTGCATTTTTCTTGGTGTGTGTGTGTGTGTGTGTGTGTGTGTGTGTGTGTGTGTGTGTTACAGTAACAGTGACCCAGTCTGAATGGCCATAAGATGTATCAACAGGGCAGTTACATTTCTTGGACAAAAACGCCCCAGATAATAATAACAACTCAATGTGTGTGACTGTGTGTGTTCGAGTATGACGACTCTGCATATCTCTTCCTCCTTCTGATAAAATCTCTCTCTCTCTTTCTTCACCTGTTCCTCTTTCTTAATTGAACACTCAACTTTCTATGTTGGTTATTGAACCCTGAAACTGGTGTGTGTGGAAATCAGCCACTACAGGGCTCCGGTCAGAGCACACGCAGTCACCAGTTCGTTCATAGTCTTTACTGCCAGAATGAGTATATTATAAACGATGCAGTATGATGGTGCATGACAGATCAGTTTCTGAAATAAACACAGAAACAGAATTGAGTTATTACTGATAACATTAATATATGCGCTTAATTACTATAAATGCATACCTGTATATATATATGTAAGTCATAAACACTAACAGTGAACCACTACATTTCTAAAGTGACAACGAAGCCATGTTACACTTCCACAAGACAGCCAAGCTAGCTTAGCTGGCCAGTTAGCTCAACACACAGCTAATACTGTAACAGACTAGTTGCTGGAACAACTCCTCACTGATATTGCAGGAGTTCATCAAACACACTGAACAGAAATCTGGAGTGAGAACTACGATATATCACCACATTAATCTCACAGTAGCATTAAGTATAACTTACATCGTCAGTGACTTCTGCACCAATAACGGCATAAAAGAAATGCGCGAAAAGAGGGAAAACGACCGCTCTCTACTTTCAAAATAAGAGTTATGGTTTCAAAATAAAAGTCTCTGAACATGAAGAATTCTATTTTCACCATTTCACAACCTCAATTCCTGGTATTCCTCTGTCTTTCCCAATTATTTTTGTGCCTTTCTGTTATAACAGTTTTAAAAAAAAGCATTTTGGTGTTTCACAAAACTACGGACTGCATTGTTGTTCATATCAACAATGTACCTATCCCTGTCTGACTGAAAATAACATTTTATCTCATTAACATGTTACCTGTATACTAAATAGGTTCATTTTGCCTGATTTAACTTAGGTTTATTTTGTTCTTCTGAAAAGGCTTAAAGTCGAAACTGTGAAGTTATGACACAACAACTTTAAGCCTGTTCAGAAGAACAAAATAGACCTAAGTTACCTGTAACTGATGTGATATCACATACGCCTCATTGATATTTTCTAAAATATTATGTTGTTTCAAATTAGCAGAGCAAGACAGGGCTAGGTGCATGTTTGTGCTTAAGGATAGTATAATGATAGTATAACTATCAGGTAAGTGATAAGGTAAGGTAAGTAACATTCATGTTAAGATAAGAGTTGCTCAGTTCTTGGGCAGTGTATCCAGGGTCGAGGAAGGTTCTTCAAAATGTATTTAGCTTTAGGTATACAAATCATGTGTCTGTTTAAAATTGACATGACATACAATGGAATGTCATTACTTAAAATAACACAAGTAACTACGTCTAAAATCCATACTATGAGCTATTCCACAACCCTGACTTTTTTGTACAATGAGTGTCCAAGATATTAGGTATATTTCAAGTTATGTCCGCAAAATGACATTGTAAAACAACCTATAAGATTTTCATGGCAGAACATTAAAATGCCAGATGTACCTAATTCACTGCACACTCAGTGTATGTATATATATTTATTAATCCATATGTTATGTATTTGTTATTAGCAACTCTGAAGTGTCAAGTGTGTAAACTTTGATTATCTTTTCAGGTGGAGCTGTCACTTGAGCAGCCATACATAAGGGAGACACAGTGCAACTGCAAAGTTGGCTTGAGACAGTGCAACCATCTCATCGGGCTGCTCTATACTCTGGCTCACTTTGTCAAGATGGGCTACACGTCTGCCCCCCCAATGACTAGCAAGACGTCATTGCCTGAAGCCTGGCACATTCCATCAAGGGCCCTGGGTGTCAGTCCAAGAATGGTGAGCTCTGTAAGTGTTTTCGAAGCTGAAACCACCAGTGACCAACGCACCCCCGCCAAAGAGGCAACGCTCTTCTGAAGGGGTGATGTCGAATCTGTACTGCCCTGTGTTCCATCATCTGCCTTTGCAGAGAGCCTACACTGAAACCTGAGTGCAATACAGAGCAAGAGTCAGATGTTCAAGCTGCTGGAGGAGAACAGAAAGCAGTCTGCTGCTCTTGTCCCCACCGACTTTGGAGACCTTCCAAAGGGATCTGTGCTTACCTACCACACAGCACAGTCTACCAGGGCTGGTGATGATCCCCCGTTTCCTCTACCATCACAGCCATGCTCATTCAGCACAGTTCTGGATGACACTGAGGCGTGCTTCTATGGTGCAGGCATGAAAACGGGTCAGGGGTGAAAAAGGTGAGAAGGATATAACCCCTCTAGGGGGTCCGGCGGCATGCTTAGATTTAAATAACATACTACTAATTTTGGACTAGGCGGTAAATGTCAACAACCTGGCTCTCTGCCTTAATCTATCTACTAAAACTTGAACTTGCTAGTTCTAGCTAGCCTGGTTAGCGATACAATATCAAAGCACCAGCTATCTGAAAACTTACCTTAAAATTACGACCAGGATCCCTTCTGATATTTTTTATCCACTCTCAACGTAGTCCCTTATCCTCTGGAAAACGGTGAAATGTTTGCCCTCTGTTGGATTTTTTCCTGTGTGACGAAGTGCACTGGGGAACACAGCAGTGCGGCGCCATTGCCGCTAAGAGAAATCGCGACAAGAGAGTTCCCGGAAGTGGTAGGTGTACCCCTCAAATTTAACACTTACTTTAACAAAAACATATCCCTCATAACCTCTGGTAACATTCAGGTAAGCCAGTATTTGTTGCAGTTAAGGGGAAAAAAGAATAAAAGTCTTTAACCACATTAGCAGCCCAGTGAGGCTGTAATTCCCATTACACACATGGAAAGGAAAATGTTGAGTGGATAAACTACCAAAATCAGATTGGTTTATGTTTTGTTTCAAGACATCTCAATTCAACAGTCTACCAGGGTCTGAAATGAAGATTTTACTGTGGCAGGTCACTGAACATTTCTCCAAGCCACTCTTTTTGTCTAGACTTTAAAATTGTAAACACAGTAGAAATATGGAATATATCATGTATCCATAATCCCTATTCTTGAGAATGATTTTATTTATCACTACAAGAAAAAAAGCAGCCATGGTGGCATGTGAGCTGAAAAAAACCTGCTCTTAACCTGTATTTGGCAGGTGCTGAGTCAATCCACTGAGCTGTCAGACTGCCTCATCTTCCACTGGTTACTGTAGGGGCTATATTATGTCTCATTAGACTTAGTATACGGAATAATGTTATCATGCTAACAGCATACTGACCCCACTAAGGGTCTAAGAAGCATGTTAATATATATTGCTTGCATATTAAAGGTCCAGTGTGTAACATTTTGGAGGATTTGCTGGCAGAAATGGGATATAATATTCACAGGTAGGTTTTCATTAGTGTATAATCATCTTAATGCAAATATTAAGCCTGCTATGTGAATGAAAGCAGAGCTAAGGCTAATGGGAACCAGTGAGATACCTGCGTTTTGCACTGGGGTTACACTGTAAGTACAAATGTTCAGCTCTAATCTGTACTTAAACCCTAACTGAATTAAAGATTGTTCAGAACCTAATGTTACATACTGATATGAACACTAAATTGAATTGACGAACACTTTATTAAACTTATGCAGAATGTGTTTTACCTCCACTGAGTTCTGAGCTTCACTCATCTTGGTAACCGTGGTTTGAAACTCTCCTATGAAGTCGTGGCCTCCATCATTATCGTAGTCGTAACACAGGACCTGTTATTTTGTAAAACACATCACATCATGCCATCATGTTTTCTGTGTCATGGTCAGCTTGTGCAGCTTCCTTTCTGAGACTCAAGTGGTTATTTGTCTGGTATTTTTGCTCTCATTACACTTCACCATGCTTGTCACACTTGCACGTATGATCATCCGAAACATTCTCTATTCGAAAATGATAACCTTTATGAGAATTTATAATTGGTTACATTTTTAAGGATTTGCATTTATTACATAGCATTTTATGACTAAACAACAAGATCAAATGACTTTGACACACTTTTAACCAGTGCATTAACATGATACTTTCTGTCCATTTTTCCACTGTCAATCTGCACTGCTCACATTTAATAATGTACAAATTTCATACCACACCAGTTTTGTAATATATGAAACTCTTAAGTACTAACCTTGATGTTTCTGTCCACATCTCGATTGCACAGAGAAATTAGTGGTACAGTGAAGGATTTCCATGCTGGATCTAAAGTGTTCTTAATGACCTGAAGTCACAGACACAGAAATAGGCACATAATCGTTGAATTACACAGCAGCAGGTATATAATGCAGCTGTAGCCACAGTAGAGTTAACTAAACGTGGGGCTGTAATCTGTGCCATCCAGCCTCCAACACTTACTGTTACAGTTACAGTGTATGACCTTCTGTAAGGTCTGGTTTTGCTGACAATGACAGCTCATGGTTGACAATAATGACAGTTAGATGTAGGTGCTTTTAATCCCCACCGATGACTCACCTCTGTCCTGTGCACCAGCATCCATTTGCCGTCTTCTCCCTGTTTGTGAAACTCCAGGTAGGGGTCTGACTTCCCGAAGAAGTCCTGCACAGAATGGAGACAGTTTGTTGTGAAGTCTTTTGAAGGGGCTAGAATCCTGTTTTATCCTAATTTCTCCTCTCCTCAGCCAAACAGCAACACACAATTCTACAAATGTTTATAGTAAATCAAATTGCAAGTCTTTATTTTGTTTAATTAACATTTTTATTAAAAGAGTTCCAGCAATTACTGCGCTTTGTGTGTACCCTGGTAGTTTAACCAGAGGGTGCGCAGCAGGCACACATCAGCATTAGTTCAAATCACAATTCAAGCCGTGCTGTTCCTGACCCACTGTCATTCTTCTCTTCAGCAGCAGCTACTCCATAGGTCCATGATTGAAAATGAACTCTTATAAATAAATACATATATTGCACGATTTTCATTTCCCACTATCTGTGCGCCTGACAGCCCATTAGTTAGCAGACAAAGGTGAAGGATGTGAAAACATCTACAGTAAATGTTGTCTGTGTGGGCTTTGCTTGTGCCTCCTAAAGCAGTATGCACTCTGAGTGTGTGTGCGTGCTTGCATTTGCATCCAGAGTGTGTGTGTGTGTGTGTGTGTGTGTGTGTGTGTGTGTGTGTATCAACATGAAAGACAGGAAGAAAGAGAGGTTGTATACAGAGAGAGAGAGAGAGAGAGAGAGAGAGAGAGAGAGAGAGAGAGAGAGAGAGAACCTTTTAAAGACAGTGCTGATTCTTACCGTAATGGATCCTTTGCCTGCTGGCTTCCCATTGGCTAAGATCAACGGTCTGTGAAGTTTCTTATTGGACACAATCTAGCGGACAATTTAAGAGAGACACACAGGAATCACTTAAGACAAAACACAAAAGAAAGATAGGTTTGAACCCATCATTCTAGTTTAATTTAGTAGTTATCCAGTTCCCACGCTAACTTCTTCTCTTCCACTGTTGACCTTCCATGTTAAACGAGCAACAAGGAAGTGCTTCGACTCTGTTGCGTCTTTTAACTTTCTGACTACACCAGAGGTGGGAATGTGTCATGTTGTGCAGCTTAACATCTGTTGCTTCTGATCACCTTACGCCTACATTTTACCAAATAGCTGAATAATGTAACATACAGCATGAAGGACTGACAGAGCTGGAAGAAAATGTTATTCTACAGCAGTCTGACAAACATTGACTGCTACTTACATAGTGGTGCTAATTAGATCAGTTCTCCCACACAGCTCTGCCATCAGCTAGACATCTTACTGTTACAATAGTCATGACTGGCCAGAATGTGTTGGTATTTGTTGTTTTACAACAATATGATATTATCACAGAACTGATTGTGCTAATTCATCCAGAACACAGTCACATTGGAGACTCAGTACAGAAATTAATACAGAACCAACTTTGGATTTAAGAGGAGAAATCATTCCCTACCACTCCCAGTGTGCAAATGAACTCCCCCAAGAAGTCGTGCTCGTAGAGCTGCGTGGCACACTTGTCTTCATCGAACATGGCTTCTGAACCTCCTCAAAGTGGTAGTCCACCTGAATCTTCACTTCAAGTTGTTCACAGCTGTTTCAGTGCGCCCGAGCTAAATGATCCAATCCAATCCAACTTTATTTGTTAAGCACTTTAAAACAATCAAGTTGACCAAAATGCTGTACAGAAGAATAAATAAGACATCATAAATAAAAGACATAACAGCTCACAAGAGGCGCAAATATAAAATACACGAGAAATGAGAAGAAACAAGGAGAGATTAAGACTCTTAAAACAAAAAATTCATTTAAACACATTTGACTCAAGTGGACTGTGGCTGTGCCTGTAGATCCAGTGGAACAGTGAGGGTTTACTGAAAAGGCAGTGTGCAGTGATCACAGTTTTAACTTTTAACATCAACCTGCACAGGGACTGCACAGACGAGAATTGGGCTTTTAACTAATTCTAGAAAGTCTTATTCTGGTTGTGATCACATTTAAGATATTGTGTTTACATGGAACAGGGTAACCTAGTTATATCATCCATTATTCTAACATTATGTAGGTATGTAGTTTATTTCGATTTAAACATAACAACCTTACATAACAATGTGCACATTATGCAGGTTTCTGATTGCATCAGTGCAGGCTTGTCTCTCAACTCCTCCACATCCAGCTTCTTTCATTTCTGTACCAACTTAATTGAGCATGAGCCCAGTCTAGTCTCTGGCTGCATGGATTGCACTTACCACTTATCACCAGTAATGGAATACAAGAGCCATAACTGTTTATCATAAACTGCAAAATATGAAACAATGGAGCAATGCAATGCAAAAGTTAGTCAGAAACACCATGTGCTACACCAGTGTAGTATCACAAGAGCCATGTCGCTATAAATGTGTGGGCCTTTGGCATCTTTCTTCCAGAACTAATTGCTAACTTTGCCTGTCTACCACTGGTGCTGGGCAGGTAATGTTCACTGGGTTTCAGAGCTTTTTAGCGCAGTCAGGGTTTGGTGAGAGTACACTATTGAGAGACTGACCCAAATGGTAAACCGTAAAATCAAAACAAAGTTTTAAAAGGGGCCAAGAGGCTCAGTAAAGCTGCAGAGTTGTCTCACTTTGATTACAGCACTATGAGTGACACCTCACGTCCATTGGTTTCACGCTTGATTATTATAGATTGTTAACATTTGAACCTCATTCTCAACTACTATTCGCAAGTCAATCCAGCTTTGAGGTTCTCATCTCCCCAAAAAAATAGCTGGGACATCACACAGACAGATCAGAGAGCGTGGGTGTCTGTAAGAGCACTGTGAGAGTCATGTTATTTGCTCTGGGTCCTTGAAACCAGGTTGTTGGATGACTAAAACTCACTGGCCATGCTACTCTCCAGTGTGACTCACACAGAACACACTGCATAGTGTGTTTATCCACCATTAGACTAGGTCACTATATGCCACTTTTGAATTTGAGTGAATATTAAAGGCATTTTTGAATGTCATTGGACTGATACACCGGAGATGGTGGCCATTAAATGTCAACACCCTGACACTGAATTACACCTGTCCTTCTGCTCATTACCAGGCACTTAACATTAGCATGCTGACATTAGCATTAGCTAGCTGAAAGCACCACTGTGCTTAAGTACAGCCTCTGACAGTACAGACTGTGTTATGTAAAGTGTCACTGAGTATCTGAAAATCACTCAACTACAAATAAAATATTTTATAACAAAAATGTATTAATATTGTTTTAGATTATTTATTTACGGAGAGGGGGGATTTTTTTTCATCATCTAAATATCTGCATTAATTTGTACATTTGTCAAACACCTGTTAGGCTTATTTTAATTTACATCAGATTTGTCACCTAGCAGGCTGAAGTGCATTTCTCATATTTGTGCCACTGTGGATTTGAACCTGGCTGACTGGCTCTAGAAATGAATCAGACCCTTGTGGCACCTCATCTTTCTGCCCTCTTTTTTATGTGTCAATGTTTACAATCACAGCATTTCCTCTGAGATACAAATGGTACAATAATAACAATATGAACAGCAGTAAACAATAGCTTACTACAGGGCAATGACATGTCCCCAATTCCTCCCACAGTACAAAAATGAAGCCAAAATATCCCAGAGTTATGAGGACCCGTCCATACATACCCTTGAACATACAACAGTGCCTTGGGAAAACTAATTTTAAGATTACTTTTTAGTTGGCCCATGCGGAGGGGGCAGGGTTTATAACGTACACTGCAGTCAGTCATCAGGATGTTGGCTTTGACTTTTGGGGAGCTGTCTTTTTTTTCTTGTCATATAGTGTTGCATAATCTTCAGTTGGCCGGCTGGTGTGTGTATTGGGGTTGGTTAAAGCCGACTAGAGAGTTGTTTGACTACTCAAGGACCTGATTGGGTTTGGAGTTTGAAACTTTTGAATGTGAGGACTTGCATCAATGTGATTTTTACAGTCTAAATTTTGACTGTGTTTAATTTTGTTAATTTTGTTGCCACCATACACAATGTACGTGCAGCTTACAGCTGAGTGTTTCTGGCATTAAATAGACAGGGACCGAAAAGAGAGAGACACCACAGCCAAACAGCTCAAAGCTAAGAGGTTGAATCAATGAGAGGAACCCAAGTGGTTTCAAAGACATCAGAGAAGTTGCTGTTAAAAGGAATCACTTGGGCAAACCTGAACCTGCAGCACCCAAACAAACACATAATTGCAAAGAAAAGTCAATTATAGCGATTTCAGCAGTAGGTGCTTAAGCTTACACTAATTTATTTTTGGGCCACCAGGGGATATCGTAACACAACATGTATTCTGACCTTTAAAATATTGATGATAATGAATAATTGGTATGGTGGACGTGTTACAAAATAGTGGCTTATTTACACCTCCAGCAGATATGGATTAACATGACCAACTCCTGAGAAAAATATCCGCCTCTTTAGCAGCCAAATGCTCTACAATGTTCAGCAGATAGTCACTAACCTTGTGTGTTTTTCTGTTTGATGTTGGGTAGTGTAGTGTACAGTGGGTTTATCTGAGCTTTTTCACTGAACCGCTGCCTGCTGCTGCTGAAAATGAAGCTTATGAGAGCGGCGAGAGTGAATGAAAAGAGTACAGTTACGGGCCGTAAACTAAAACAATGAGCTGGAAGATGCTAAAATGCTCCACAGAGCTGAGAGAAGCAGTAGAATAGAGTGAAAACAATATGTTGGTTTGTCAAATTGTTAACACAGATTTATTACAGTAGCTTTACTTATCCTGCATTCACTTTTATGTCGATATTTGAATTGATTTGTAGTCTAATAATTTGTAAACCAAACAGTAACACAACAAAAGAGACACACACCATGTTTCTGAAAATAGTTTTGGGAAGGACTTTGTTATTCAGCTAACTTTCCTGAGATGCTCTATTTATTAGAGCAGAAATGTCATTGAAAGAATGGTTCACCATCACAAAAAATGATTCTGCAAATGATGCTACATGATGAAGGCTACATAAGACTGCACTTCACAGTATTACACAGCTAAAGATGGGATTTTAAACACCACAGATTTTGGCATCCCCACTGTACGTGGTAAAAGAATCACGTTGAATGTGAGTTCTCACTTGCAGTGTAACAGGCGTATATCTGTGTCCATAACACGTGTTGAGATTAGTATGAGGATTTGGAGATCGGAGGGAAAAAAAAAAATCAAAGGAATTTAGGAAATAGCCCAAGTAGTCAGCTAACACTCTTCACCTCTTGCTCTGTCTCACTTCTACTTCTGTCACTCATTCACATTTTCACCTCTGTCTTTTTCTTCTCTTTCTCTCACTAATTTCCCCCTCACCCTCTCTTTCCCTGCACCCTTTTCTCATCTCCCTCTCTCACACCTCCTTGCTCTCACACTCTTATCCTCTCTTACCGTCTCTCTCCCTTTCCCCCAATGAACCCAGCTGCTTCTCACACCTCTATCTCACAAGGCAGGCAGACAGACAGACAGACAGCGAGACAGAGAGAGACAGAGAGGGGAAGGCTGGTGACAGAGATGAGAAAGACAATCGGAGGACAGAGAAAACAAAGCTAGCAGGAGGGGATCAGAGAAAGTGAGAAAGCCAGGGTGTGAGAGAAACAGCGAGCTGTGGATAATATCTGAGAAAAGGTTTGGGCCTCATTTCGCCTCCTCCATCGTTCCCTCACTCCAGGAGCACTAAGCTTTTGTTTCCCTTCCCGTTGCCATAGTGACCGTTGGCAATTTCAGATCGGAGCCACATGCCCTGCTGACCGACAGCTAGCTACAACCCGAGGCACTCGCCTACACACACACACACAGACACACACAAACACACATACACCAAAGCCAGTTTGCCCTGTAGACCAGCTGTTCGCTGCGAAAAGCCTTAAAGCAGCTGCCTACACACACCAAAACTTCATCACCATGTTCCTCTTCAGCATCTTCAACTTGTGTTTTAGTCTACACCGTACATCATACATACACTGACATCACATATTTATGTATGCGATTAAAGCCAGGCAAACAAATCTATAGTCAAGTATCAGTTCCCAACAAATCCTGATTTTGATCTTCTCCTATTCCAGTTTATGGGTTGTCGGGGACTGGAGCCTGTCCCAGCACACACTGGGCAAAAGGTGGGATAAACCCCTTGATAGGTTGTTAGTCTATCACAAGGCTAAAACAGCCAAGTATATCCAGCTGCACCCAAACGTAATGTGGTTTATCTCAACATACCAAACTATAGCTAATGTGAGAATCAACCATGAGAAATAAACAAGAGAATAAAGCTCTCCGACCTAACATGCTCGCTAACAGTCAGTTATCTATAGCTTAGCTCAGTCGCTAACGGGACAACAAGTTCTCATAGTTTATTCAAAAGTTGTATTTGTGCCATTGACTCCTGTCTCATAATGGCCTGCAATCCACTGCTTATTTGTGGAACAGTTTTGACTGTGACAGAGGAGGTTCAACAAAAAAAAAGGAAAACAATTTTGGACTCTCTAGCTCTCCGTACCCTGAAAGGTCAACACTGTCAAGATGGCTTGCTGTTGCTGTCAGCGGCCTAATTCACATGTTAAAGTTCACCAAGGTTGAACTGTACACAAAACATTTTCTTCTTGATCTGAGCTTCTGCAAAGCAAAGCCATAATAATAAAAAAGCATTTTTTATTAACTTTTAAACCACAACCGGTAAGGTCTAAAATCAGTATCTTCAAATGTGCCCTCTATTACTGGATTTCCACCTCTAGGAACTCTGTCAGGGTTTTCTGTTTTATCTATGTCATATCTTCTCAACCTGCTTCTCCATCCGAACGTTCCCTCTGCCTAATCAAAGGTTGTAAGTGATGAGATATAGTGGAAGTGCCTGATATTTCAATCACAGCCTGATCAGTACTTGAGAATCCATTAACAATATCTCAGCTGTATTCTTTTACAACATAAACACATAACATGAAAAATGCTGATACAGATCCCTTAGATTACATACTAAGTCTTACAGTTACTCTCTGGTGGATGAACTACAGCATGTAATAGTGACACTGTTTCTAAATGACCTTAAACCTTGTTCAGCATTTCTTGGCCGACATATACACCAATGTGATATATCTGCAATAAGCTAATATCTGGCAATTTATCAGTCTAGCTTTAATTTTAATGTCAGTAATAAGTAGGCCTACTTGAAAAACCCTATTTTACTAACTGGGTAGGCCTAATACTGCTTTAACCAAGTCTAAAGAGCCAGTCCAACAATGGAAGCTCACACATTTTGCAACATCCTACTAGGAACAGCACGTCAGGGCTCATGCCAGATGGTCAAGACATCATGAGTTTGGATCTGGTTCATAACATATACTGTCTGCAAAGTAAGACAACAAACAGAATCCTTTTTCTTCGTCTTTCTCTCGCTGAAAGAGACAGCACGGTGGACGTGACCTTGAAAGCACTTCTAACACTTAACTAAAATCTTCCATCCTCCCCTCAGTCTCTTTATTTATGCCTCCCT